TAAGATGATCTGCGGGCCCCATAGAGAGAGGCTCCCGCCTGAGACTTCCTCGCAATTCACTCACAGACAACGCTCCCGCCTGATACTTCCTCCAAATTCACGCCCCAGGAGCCCAAAAGTGACGACAGTTACAGGATCCCAATGACCCGCCTCGGATTAGTAAGATGATCTGCGGGCCCCATAGGGAGAGGCTCCCGCCTGAGACTTCCTCGCAATTCACTCACAGACGACGCTCCCGCCTGATACTTCCTCCAAATTCACGCCCCGGGAGCCCAAAAGTGACGACAGTTACAGGATCCCGATGACCCGCCTCGGATTAGTAAGATGATCTGCGGGCCCCATAGGGAGAGGCTCCCGCCTGAGACTTCCTCGCAATTCACTCACAGACGACGCTCCCGCCTGATACTTCCTCCAGATTCACGCCCCAGGAGCCCAAAAGTGACGACAGTTACAGGATCCCGATGACCCGCCTCGGATTAGTAAGATGATCTGCGGGCCCCATAGGGAGAGGCTCCCGCCTGAGACTTCCTCGCAATTCACTCACAGACGACGCTCCCGCCTGATACTTCCTCCAAATTCACGCCCCAGGAGCCCAAAAGTGACGACAGTTACAGGATCCCGATGACCCGCCTCGGATTAGTAAGATGATCTGCGGGCCCCATAGGGAGAGGCTCCCGCCTGAGACTTCCTCGCAATTCACTCACAGACGACGCTCCCGCTTGATACTCGAGTGAGTGACGGACTGACTGAGTGATGTGTGACGCCAACGGATGATATCCTCATGTGATGATCATGATGAGTGAGTGAGTGAGTGAGTGAGTGAGCGATCGAGTGGTGTATGGGTAAGTGTGATGGTGCTGAGGAGGAGAGGCGTGGGTCATGATGATGATGACTGATGATGATGATGGCGAGAAAGAGGAAGAGAGAGAGAGAGAGAGGGTGTGAGATCCTGCGCGGGGGGTGTGCAGAGAAAACAAGAACCCCACTTTGGATGTGGGGAATAAATGACCGGGGGTCGTGTTCACGCGGCGGCGCCCGGGATGACGATTAGAAAAAACCGGCCGCGGGCTGGAAAACTATTTTTAAAAATCGTTCTCCTCCAGTCAGAAAATTATGCAGAAATCGCAGAACACTATTGTTTTAATCGTTCTCTCCTTTATGTTTTATTAGTCGTCATCCCGCATTAAGGGGGAAGGACCGGCGACGCGGGCCGAAAGGCCTCTAGAGAGGTTTGGGAGCCAAATCGAACGTTCACCTTTGACACGATTAGCACGCTTGTGGACACAGGGGGCGGCGCACTCTCGGATTTCAGCGCTGCCGTAGACCGCATACGCACGTCGACCTTCGAAAGAGGAGGGTCGCAGAGGCTCCTCATCAGCCCTCCTGCTGCTACTCTCTTGCTCTCCCGCAGTAGCTTGGGCTCAGGCCAGTGGGAGAACTGGCCCCAGACTCGCCACGCAGTACATGCAGTGCGTTGACCGCGCCGCCTTGCATCCTTGGGTGATTCTCTCCCCCCCGTGCGCACAGCACATGCCTCGTCTCGACGTCACGGCTCGCCGCGGCGGTTTTTGCAGCAGGAGCCCGCTGCATCGCCCTGGCGGTCAGGCCCTGCCAGAACAGGCCCTGCCAGAAGTCTCGGACGGCGCCGGCTGGGCTCCTCGAAGCCTTCCTGGGGAGCCTCGAGAGGGGGGTCAGTGCAAACGGGGGTCAGCCAGGGCACCAGATCCTGCAGGATCCTGCGAAGACCCCTTCTGGCTGACCCGGGTCAGCGAGCCGCTCGTGGCCGCGAGGCGGCCGCGCACATTGGCCGACCCGGGTTTGCGAAGGCCCGCGTTGCAGTCTTTGTTTTTGCTCCTGCAAGGCAGTTTTCTGCTTTCCTGCTGACCCGGGTCTGCACTGGCCCGGGCCAGGAGATCCCCGACTCCCTGGGGGGGAGGGGGGGGAGGGGGGAGGGGGGGAGGGGGAAAGAGGGGGGAGGGGGGAGAGGGGGGGAGTGGGGGAGGGGGGGAGGGGGGAGAGGGGGAGGGGGGGAGAGGGAGGGAGGGAAGGGAGGAGGGAGGGGGGCGGAGGGTGGGAGGGAGAGCCTCCCGTATAAGCACTTTTTGGCATTTATGTGATTGTTGTGACTCGTTTTTGTTTTTTTTTTTTTTTTTTTGTTTTTTTTTTGTCTTTTTTTTTGTTTTTTTTTTTTATCTTTTTTTTTTATTATGTTTTTGTTCAATTATTTGTTTTTCCAGGCCGCCGCGCCGGGGGCGCCGGGGGGGCGTAGGCGCGGACGCGTCGCCCCCCCCACCCCCCCCAACGCCCCAGGCGGAGCTCCGCGAGGGCTGGCGGCGCCTCGACATTTTTTCCTTTTTCCAAATCTTGCGGGCAGCCCCGCGGCGCCCTCTTTTATTTTTCTTTGTTTCTTATTTTTTCTTTTTTTATTCATTTTTTTTTTTTGTTTTTTTCTTTTTTTTCTTCTTTATTTTGTTTTCTTTTTTCTTGTTCCGAAGAGTTGGCCCCCGGGCGAGGGCCCCAGGGCGCCCGCGGCCGCGGCGGGTCGGCGGCCTCGCCGCGGCCGCCGGAGCCGCGGCCCTGGCCGCGCTTCGCCGTGCGGGGAGGGCTGCCCGGCGGGACCCGCCGCCTGGGGCGCGGCGCCGTGCGCGGCGGTCGGGAGGCGGGCGGCGCTGCGGGCGGGCCGCGGCGCGGGCTCGGCCCGCGGCGGCGGGGGCCGCGCGCGGGGCACGAGGGGAGCTGGGCCGCAGGCAGGGGCGGAGCGTCCTGGGTCGCCTCTAGGCCTACCGCTGTGGCTTGGCATCGCTCGGACGTGTGCATTTTTTCTTCGGCGAGGGCCATCGAGGAGCATCCTTGATCATTTGGCGGAAAAAACCACGCACGACACCGAAAAAGAGACAGGGAACGGACGTCCGAGCGATGGCCAGTGTGGAGGACGGTCACTGGAGAGGACGCGTGCTGCCACATTATTTCCAGAGGTCTAAAACATGTGTCGAACATGTTTTAAGCATGTAAAGAACATGTCTAGATCATGTTTAGAATATGCTCCGTCATTTCAAACACATTGTAAACTCAGTGATAGGACTGCTCGGGTGCCCATTGTCGTGGCATCCACAAGCCTACCAACAATGTTCTGAGAGCCTTTTTGTGGGTTCCACGGAACGTTCTTGGAACATTTCTGGCCGCTGCTGTTCTGTTTCAGCACATCGGGCTTGTGTTCTGAGAGCACTGTTTTTTTGTTCTTAGAACATTTTTGGGTGCTGGGGACATTCCGTGGTAGGCCTATGGGATGCCGGGACGTTCGGTCCCTGCTCCATGGGAAGGCGGGGCCCGGCCCCGCAGCGCAGGCCATCCGGCAGCCTTGGCAGCACAGGCCGGCGCAGGGGGTCCTGGCCGGGGTGGCGATGGCGACTACCGCTTGAGCGTGGGCCGCGCCATAGACGTCCTCCGTTCTGACGTTCCTGGCTTTTTCACCCGTGTCTCGCACGTGCCAGACTATCCAGCTGCCTGCGGCAAGCCCCGCCGCCGTGCCAGCGCTTCAGTGCAGTAGGAGGGAGGCTGAGTTGAAGGTACACTGCAAGTCAGTGCTCGGTCTGAATTCGAGTGGGTCTTAAACTCGACCCCGTTCCCTCGACTCTTGGGGCCTCTGAGGGGCCTCTGTGAGCCATCATTGGGCTTTCTTGGGCTGCGTCGGGGTATCCTGTGCAATGTTTGTCATGCCTTGGTGCGGGACGGGAAAATGACCACCACCACTGCTTCTTGTCTGCGCCGCCTTCCAGCCGGCCGAAAAAAGAAGCAGTGGTTCTGGTCATCTCCCCGGTGCCAAGCTCAGCGAACATGACCACAACCACTGCTTCGTTTCTGCTGGCTGGACGGCGGCAGCAAGAGAAAAGCAGTGGCTGTGGTCGTTTTCACATCCCGTGCTTGGCCCGTCTGAGGGGCCGCCTTTGGAGGGTTCTTCGGCCCTCTTGGGGCCCTCGTGGGGCCTCTTCGGGGGCCCCTCGGCCCGTCGTGGGGCCTCCTCGGACCGCCTCGGAGGCCTCTGGAAACGTCTGGTCCGTCGGAAGCCACAGAGGGCAGGAACGCGAAGAACATTGGAAATACTTCGGGAATCAATTGTACAGTCGGGGCCCTGAAGAAGGAACCCTTTTCGTTGGGGAGGGGCTCGGTGTTCCTTGATTGTTCTGCAGTTTGCCTTCGGTTTTCCTGAGGTTTCCCATGGGAAATCGAAGTTCAACTTATGGGAGAAAGGGGCCTCGTTCCTTATTTGGAGTTCCTTAGGTCAACGCCCCCACTGTATTGTGGCTTCTTAGCGCCCTCTTGGGCTGCATCGGGGCGATACGGCCGTCGGCAGGCTGTTTTGGACCGTCTGATGCCTTCAGAGGCCGTCTGGGGGGGGTCTTGGGACTGTCTTGGAGCCCTCTTGAGCCGCTCCTGGGCCGTCTCGGGACCATCTTGGGGCCGTCTTGGGGGCCTCTCGGCCCGTCTTCGGGCCAACTCGGACCTTCTTGGAGGCCTCTAAGGCCGTCTTGGGCTGTCGGAAGCCAGAAGGGGCGGGAACGCGAAACACATTGAAAACCATGCTGACCATTTGGGGAATTCATTTCTGAAACCGTGTTTGGGCTTTCATGGGCCCGCCTGGAGGGCCTCTTTCACCTTTCTTGGGCTGTATCGTCATCTTGGGCGGTCTTCGAGGCATATTGGACCAGGTCAAAGGCATATGGATGTCATATTGGGCCGTCTATGCGCCGTCTGGAGGCCAAACAAAGCGCCGAACATCAACGCGTTTGGGGTGGGGGTTTCAAGGTCGCTTGCGACTCAGGGATGGGATCGGCCTTAGCAAACACTCAAGAGACACAGCTAGACATCAGAGGAGCGTTTTACACACGCCCCAGCGTGCACAAGGCACGGTGGCGGATTCGGTCTTCGCCAAGGATGTGGTGCTAGAGGACCACAGGTTGCCGAGCTTCCGCATCCACGGCGTGGAGGCGTACAAACGGACCATGGATGCGATCCGCTGGTCCATGAGCGCCGCCTGCGACCGCCAGCACATGGAGATTACCTCCATGATGCCGCCAGCGAACGGCGTGCTCTACATGAGGTGGCGACTGCGCCTGTGGCCCAGGAACCCGCTAGAGTCTGCGAAGGTGTTCCTGGCGCCGACGCTGAGCTGGAACCATCCGCTCCTCAGAAGCCGGGTGCTTGGGGAGCCCAGCATTGTCGAGGGATACTCGAGGTACGAGTTCGATGCCTGGGAGGGCAAGATTGTCAGGCACTCGATCGAAATCACCAACCCGCCCACGCCGCTCGCGAACTTGCTGAGGCCCGCAGTACAGATGCCCATGGTCGCGCTGACCCCGAGCTTGGGCAGGATGGGGATGCCGGTGCAGCTCTGATGCGAACTCACTGACGGGCCCTCCCGGCCGCCGCTGGTCAGCGCCTACGGTCGGCACCACGCGCTCGCAGGGTCGGCCCGAAGCGGGAATTTTGCTGGAACTTGCGAATGTGTTTCGGCATGTCAGCTTGAAGGGGGGAATGGCATTGCGGCTCACCAGGAGTTGCCAGCAGTGCGTAAGCTTCCTCATGATTTTCAATGTAAGTTGCGGTTTGTTGTGAGGGCGATTGCTAGCAGACATTGCTGTCGAACAGCAAGCTCATCAAGGACGTGCATGTACCAAGCCGCCCTCTATCCAGCTGCCTGCGGCAAACCCCGCCACCGTGCCTGTGCAACAGCGTTGCAGGAAGGGGGCTTAGTGTAGGAACATCGTAATTCCGACAAGTGGTATGATCAGGACGAGGCGTGAACTCGACCTCGACCGCGACTTCGTCCACGCGGTCGGAAGGAGATCGAGTTCATGGTCTGAAGTGGGGAGGGTCGTGATCCCTACATTGTCTTCGTCCGCGCGGTAGGGGGGAGGAGGAGGAGGAGGAGGATGAAGAGGAGGAGAAGGAGGAAGACGAAGAGGAGGAGGAAGAGGAGGAGGAGGAGGAGGAGGAGGAGGGGGAGAACATGAGGACGGGGAGGAGAAAACTTCTTGGGGCCCTCTTGGGGTCTCCTGGGGGGGGCTCCTGTGAGCCTCCTGGGAGACCGCTTGGGGGCCTCTTGGGGGCCTCCTGGGGCCTCTTGGGGGCCTTGTGGGGCTTCTTGGACTGTCGTAGGGAGGCGATTGGCCCGTCTGACGCCTTTGGAGGCCGTGTTGGGGGCCTAATTGGGCCATCTAGGTGTCCTCTTGGGTCGCTCTAGGGCCGCTTTGGGGCCCTCTTGGAAAGCTCTTGGGCGATCTCGGGGTCCTCTTGGGCCGACTCGGCGCCCTCTTGGGGGCCCCATGGGTTGCCTTGGACCTGTCTTGTAGGCCTCTTGGGCCATCTTGGGCGGTCGGAAGCCCAAACGGGCGAGAACCGCAACATCCTCCAACAACTCCAGCTTCAGGAAACTCGATGATGTGTTGCTTTCTCGGGCTCTCCTGGAGGGCCTCTTGCATAATGGTGAATGAGAGAGGAGAAGGATGGGGGAGGGGGAGGAGGAGGAGGAGGAGGAGGAGGAGGATCAGGAGGAGGAGGACGAGGAGGAGGAGGAGGAGGAGAAGGAGGAGGCGGAGGCGGAGGAGGAAGGAGGAGGAGGAGGAGGAGGAGGAGGGGAGGGGGAGGGGGAGGAGGTTAGGAGTGAGGTGAGGGGGAGGGGAGAGGCGGAGGAGGAGGAGGGGAGGAGGAGGAGGTTGAGGAGGAGGAGGAGCAGGAGGAGGAGGAGGAGGAGGAGGAGCCCTCTTGGGCCGCCTGGGTCCTCTCGGGCGCCCCTCGGGGCGGGGCCCTCTCGGGCCTTCTTCGGGGCCCCACGGGCTGCCCTGTGAGCTGTCGTGCAGGCGGCGTCTGGGGCCGCCCTGGGCGGTTCGGGCCGGGCGAAAGGGGGGGATTGGGAAAGGGGGGGTTACGAAAGCTGCTGCATGCAGCTGGTTTCGGCCCCACCGAGGGGCGCATTCCTCGATACATGGCCGCCTCCAGCGCTGGGAGGCGCCGGGAAAATCAGCTACGGGAGCTGATTCTCAAACCCCCCCTTTGCTATCCCCCCCTTTCGCCCGACCCGAGCGGTCGGGAGCCCAAGCCGGCGAGGACCGCAATCCCTCCAACAGTGGTGGGCAGGGCAATCGTTGTTGCTTCCTCGGGCCCTCGTGGACGCTCCCCCTGCGTTCCGTGCGATGTTAGGTTTGTCCTGCTCGATTGTCCGCTGTTCAATCCGTCCAGTGTGTCAACTCTTGACGCTTCGCGCATCCCCACCAGCCCATCCAGACACTAATTATCGGAGGGTTTCGTGAGGCCTCTTGGAGGCCGTCTTGAGCCATGCTCGGCTAGAGGCCGTCGGAGGCCAGCCTAAGCCATGCTCAGCTATCTTGGGTCACATTAGGGCTGTCTTGAGGCCTCTTGGGGGCCTATCGGAGGCTAGCTTATGCCATGCTTGACCTCCTGGGATCATTTCTTGGGGTAGGAGGAAGAAGCGTAGGAGGAGGAGGAGGAGGAGGAGGAGGAGGAGGAAGGTGAGGAGGAGGGGAGGAGGAGAGAGGAGGGGAGAGGGGGAGGGGGAGGGGGGAGGGGGAGTGGACGGGAGGGGCAAGTTGGTCGCTCGCGTCAACATCTGACATCCTACCCCTCCCTCCCATCCCTTACCATGGCGCTGATTTTCTCTATCCGCGGACGCGTGTCGTAGCGGACCTGAGGCTCCGCGCGCGTGTGCGTAGTGGGTGGTGGTGCGCGTGCGTGCGTGCGTGTGTTCGTGGTTGTGGTTGTTGTGGTGGTGGTGTGTATGTGTGTGTATGTGTGCGTGTGTGCGCGTGTGCTGTGGTGTGACGTGGTGTGGCGTCTTGGTGGTTTGGTGGTGGGCCAGGTGCGTACGTGCGTGATGGCGGTGGTGGTGGTGGCGGTGGTGTGTGTGTGTGTGTGTGTGTCTGTGTCTGTGTGTGCGTGTGCGTGTGCGTGTGCGTGTGCGTGTGCGTGTGCGTGTGCGTGTGCGTGTGCGTGTGCGTGTGTGTGTGTGTATGTGTGTGTGTGTGCGTGCGTGCGTGCGTGCGTGTGTGTCTGTGTGTGCGCGCGTGTGATGTGGTGTGACGCGGTGTAGCGTGGTGGTGGTGGGTGGGGTAGTGCGGTGGTGGTGGCGGTGCTCGGTGGTGGTGCGCGTGCGTGCGTGCGTGCGTTGGTGGGTGGAAGTGGCGGTGGGTGTGCGTGCGGCGGGGCGGGGCGTGGTGCGGCGCGGTGGTGGCGGGCGGATGGGCGCGCGAGAAAGAGGCCCGCGCTGGGGCGAGAACGCCATCCTGAACGACGGAGGCAAAACACCGATCCGAAAATGAGGCCCACGCTGCAGCGGGAGCACGATTCGGAACGATTCGGGAGCAGAAAAGAGGCCGGCGCCTCAGCGAGAGCAGCATTTTGGAAAAAACGCAGGCGAAAACCCAACTCCCGGGAATCCTGTGTGTAAAAAAACAGAACGCGGGGGGGGTCGAATATTCCCAGGACGCCATCAGGTGAAGAGGGAGAGTAGTATTCATATTGAGTAATTGCGGAGGAGGAGTAAGAGGGGGGAGGAGGAGGAGGAGGAGGAGGAGGAGGAGGAGGAGGAGGAAGCGGAGGAGGAGGAGGAGGAGGAGGAGGAGGAGGAGGAGGAGGAGGAGGAGGATTTGTTTGGAGCCAGTACTTTTCAGAAATCATGTCAGTGTATCCCGGAGTGCCCCAGTGTACGAACTCGATCTCCCACTAGTTAGCCTGCCCGGGGTTTGCTGATCTTGTCTTCGCCTCTCTCGTTTCTGCTGCACTGTCTGCTTGTGCTACCGCCCGTCTTGACCTTCCCGACCAGCCCTCCACCGCCACTCTCCTCCCTCTCGCCGCGTCCGCCATCGTCTAATATCATCTTGCCGCTGTCCCATCACCTGTCAGCCAGACGGCAGCAATGGCGCAACTGCTTCAAAGTAGGGCAGTGCTGAATCGCGCGGCTGAAGGCAGCATGGTGGGCGGCGGTTTTCGATGAACTCGTGCCCGCCCTCGGGTGCGTGCCAGGAGGGGGAGGAGGGAGAGGAGGAAGAGGACGAGGAGGAGGAGGAGGAGGGAGATGGAAGAGGAGGAGGAGGAGGAGGAGGAGGAGGAGGAGTAGGAGAGGAGAGGGAGGGAGGAGCTAAGTAGGATTTGGAGTAGGAGGAGGAGGAGGAGGCAGGACAGGAGAGAAGGATGATTAGCATGCGGCCCGGAGGACGGCCGGAGGAGGAGAGGAGGAGGAAAGAGGAGGAGCGGCAGGAGGCAGGAGGAGGGGGAGGAGGAGGAGGAGGAGAGGAAGAGTAGAGGAGGAGGATGAGGAGGCGGAAGGAGGAGGAGGAGGAGGAGGAGGAGAGAGGAGGCACGACAGGAGGGGGAGGGAAGGAGCGGACGATGACAAGGAAGATGAGAGGCTTTGGAGGTATGTCGTTGTGGGAGGTGCGTGCAAAACAAAACAACGAAGGCCATCTTAGGTGTTCTCTGAGGGCCCCCGTGTGGGGCCTCCTGGGGCTCTCTTGGGGCCCTCTTGGGGCCCATGTTTGGAGTCTTGGGGGCCTTCTGGGGCTCCTTGGATGGGTCTGGGACGCCCCGTGGGCCCCACGGCTCAAAAAGCGGAGGGGGGGTGGGGGGGGGCGAATTCGGGCTCCCCCCCTTCCGAGACTCAAAGAGGGCATCTCGGCCTCGGGGGCAGCCGCCGAGGCGGCCGTCTCTTGAGAAGCGGCCTCGTCTTCGGCCTCCTCGCTGTCGCCGCTCGATTCCCCCAGCGCGCTGTCATGGAAGCTGGGCGAATGCGAAGAGGGAGCTGCTCCCCCAACTGCGGTGGGAGCTTCCCCGTCAAAAGGACTGAGAGGTACTTCCGCAATTGCGGTCCTGGCGGAAGGCGAGAGTCGCAAATCCGTCAACAGTTTGAGGAGCATCAAATGTTTGGGCTTCCTCGGGCTCTCTTGGAGAGCCTCTTGGAGCCTTCTGGTGACGTCTCGGGAGCCTCTACAGCCGTCCTGAGGCCATCTTTGGGGCCTGTCGAGCCGTTTTGGGTTATCTTTGGCCGTCCCAGTGCCATCAGGACTGCCTTGGAAGCCGTCTTGGCGGCCATCTTGCCAGTTTGGAGGCCGACAGGACCGCCAGAAAGCAATTCCACAGGGTGCGATCTCAGCGGTGCACGTGCGATCCAGGCGGGGGGGGGGCCCTAGAAAACTAAGGAAACCTTCCATAACCGCAAGCATTCTAACACGCCGCCCACTGGCCACAAGGCAGGGTGGCGGATTTCAAGCAAGTTTTGAAGCCATGCTGTTACAGCCCGCATGACGCACTAGTTCAAGTGGCTCGCGCCGCAAGTGTGAAAGGAGAACCTGTGGATCAAGATTAGTGAACCTTTTTTAAAGGA